AATAACATCATTCCTGTCTGGGCTCCAAAGGAAGCCAAACTGGGATTAGGTGCCTTTCAGATATGCTGTGTACCACACAAAGACTGTTCCTGCTCCTCTGAAGAACAGCAAGAAACTCCATTATTCACTGATTTGGCCTGACCACCAAGTACATCACAAATCCTGCAAGAGCCTCTGAGTTCACATTAGCTGAGTAAGTTTCAAAGGTTGAGATACTTTAGAAATAATGAATAATTTATGTTTTGCAGCAGAGATCTCTAGGGAAGCTGTGGCTGCCTCAAACCTGGGAGTGTTCCAGGCCAGGCTGGATGGGGTTTGGAGCAACCTGGGCTAGTGGAAGGTGTCTCTGCCCATGGCAGGGGGTGGGATGAGATGAGCTTTAAGGTCCTTCCACCCCAAACCATTGCAGGATTCTCTGCTGACATATAAACATCAACTCCTCTTCACAACACAAGCAGCTGCTCAGGTGCATTGAGTGACCAAATTACCAAGCTTGGAGTGACTGACAGTGCTGTTTGTTATCTCTGAGCCAAGACCTACAACTACCCTATGCAAATAAACATACTCCACAAATCCCCACTCTCCCACTTACCATCATCTGCTTTTGCTGCTGCAGCCAATCCACAGAGCCTGAGCGACTTCCCATAGTGACAACAGCTCAGTCACCAAGGTCACATTAAGAGCAGGGGAAGGAGATCACTGCAGACACTGCCCAGACCTCACCTGCAAAGAAACAGTGTTCAGACTCAGGTGTGGCACATACCCAGAGCTACAGAGGTAATGCCATGTGAGACAAAAGTCCTGAGCACTGTAAGGAACAAAAAGCTGCTCTGCAAGTATAAAGTCACCTGAGAGAAAGCAGAAGAATGTTTATTTTTCAAACTGCTATTAAAGAATCAACAAGAAATGACCACTGAAAGGTGAGAGGGAACAGCTCAGGTTGCACAGGAGACACACCAAACCTGAGCACAGTTAAATCACATTTCAGTGAGGCTGTTTGCAAATTCAAGTGCTGTCGATCCGTCCTTAAACACAGCTCTGCACTACTGTAATCTCAATTACTGTCATTTACTTTCTGTTGCAAAGCTCCTTCCTGGGCAGTCTGAGGTGCAGCTGACCTGCAAAGGGCTGGTTTTCCAACAAAATGGGACACTTCCCATGACAAAGCAGTTTTTCCAGCAAAGCCAAAAGATGAGCTTTGGCTTTAATTCTATT